GAAAAGAATATTCCCGCGGGGAATGCGTTTGATTTTCATGACGTCCACAAGAACAGGAAGGACTTTTTGCTTAGCAAAACCCCGCTCGTCGTACTCGAGGAAGAAACACCGCGTCGTGTCGATGGGCACAGCGTGCTGAAGCCGTTCATCATCATCGTCGGGCATGCGAGGGCCCACTCCCTCGCCCTCATCCCCTGAGTCCCGCAGTTCTTCAACCTCACTATCTGCTTACCTTTTCTTGCGCCACCACGACCGCCGCCACGACCGCCAGATCTTCCCCCCTGGCTGCTCTTCCGAGGAGGTCTCGCCTCCTGGGATGCCACCAGAGCTCCACGAGCCTCATTAATAGCGTCAGTCCTCGCTTGTCTCTTGTGAGCGGAAGCAGAAGGAGAAGTTTCTCTTGTCCTTTTCCTCGACTTTGATCCTCCGTGCTCCTGCGAGTCATGCCCACCCTGACTCCCGCCTCGCGAATGCCATATCGCCGGGGACGACAAGGGCCGACCAAAAACCGCTCCCACAGAACCGGTGGGGATGTCGCCAGGGCCATGCTCCGACGTGACACCGACGTCGTCATCGGCAAGCATGTTTTGGTCCTGCATGTTCTCATCCCCAACGTCCATATACTCGTCATCACCGTCGTCTTCACGTGGACCGCAGCTTCCCCCATCTTCTTCCTCCTCGTTTCGCTCAGTGAGGGCAGTCGCACCTTCCTGGGCACTGTCACGCGCAGCATTGCGTCCGTACAGATTTCTGTCATCGTAGTCCGTAGCCTCGCTGGAACATTGAGCGATATCGTGACCTCCTCTCACCGTGGGCAAGGGCGAGGGCGACGCGGCTGGCAAAGGCGGAGCTGGACAAGCAGCCAACTGTTTTCTCTTCCCAACCAGCGCGGATGGCGTCTGTCGCGATTTCCTCGAGCTCGTGACAAAGGGCACGAAAGCGCAGTCGGCTTGTTGGTCCAGAGGCAGCCTCGAGAAGGCTTCCCTGTACTCCTTAACAACGCCTGGCAGTTGGTCCGTCGGGCTGCTGAATTTCACCAAGGGTTTGGTGAGCTCCAAGGAACTTTCAACGACAGGAAGGCAGCCAGTGACGCGGTAGCCATTCGTTCTACAGAGGAACTGTTCCGCAGTCAGCATGCGAAGCTCGGTGTCTTCCCCTCGCACGTCAAACGCTTTCATGGAGAAAGCCTTGACGCCGTAGCCTTGAAAGAGCCGCAAGTCAAGGCCGACCTTCTTGTCTTCCTTGACCTAATTTTTCCCATCCTTGTCGAAAACTGACGTAAGAAAGAAGGTCCTGAAGGTCCTCCCGTCGTAGGTATTCCTGGCGCTCTCAGATTTCTCAACACCCCCACAGCAGTACCACGTCGCACCATTGTCGTCGCTCAAGAAGACGACGGCCCCACACCCAGGCCTATGCAGACCACCAACCCAATCCAGAGCCCATGGTTTGTTGTTGTAGATTTTTGACCTTCCATATGCCCGAGAGGACGAAGCAGCAGGTTGACCTAGAGGGCACAAACAAAGGAAACGCACAAACAAAGAACAAATGAGGAACAAACAGAAGCGTTTCGCATGTGGAGTCGACCCTCGTTTCTGGAAAGGGGTCCGACGTTCCCTAGACGCCCGCCCCCCCGACCCTCGTTTCTGAAAGGGGGTCCGGCATTCTGAGAACGCCCGACCCCCGACGTCTCCGGAAAGGGGGTCCGGCGTTCCCAGAACGCCCGACCCCCGACAGACTTATGGAAGGGGGCCCGGCGTTCCCAGAACGCCCGACCCCCGACCGTCGTTTATGAAAGGGGGTCCGACGTTCCCAGAACGCCCGACCCCCGACCGTCGTTTATGAAAGGGGGTCCGACGTCCCCAGAACGCCCCCCCCCCTTGGGGCATTTATGAAAGGGGGTCATTTGCTCCCAGAACGCCCGACCCCCGACCACATGTTCGTCCCTCCCCCTCCCTCTAGCAGCACCGAGGGGGGTCCGGCGTTCCCGGAACGCCGGACCCATGTCGGTGCTGCCAGAGAGTAAGGGGCCCCCTCCCTCCCCGTCGCCGGCAAGAGCTTCAAGGGGATCCGGCGTTCCGAGAATGTCGGACCCCCTTTGTGCTGCGGGGGAAGAAGTGGGTCCGTCCGCGCCTCTCGATGGCCACAGCACAAAGGGGGTCCGGCGTTCCCGGAACGCCGGACGCCCTATGTGCGGCGGGGGAGGACGGGAACGCCAGACCCCTTTCATGTCCATCCCTCCCCCTCCCTCTAGCAGCACCGAGAGGGGTCTGGCGTTCCCGGAACGCCGGACCCATGTCGGTGCTGCCAGAGAGTAAGGGGCCCCCTCCCTCCCCGTCGCCGGCAAGAGATCCAAGGGGATCCGGCGTTCCGGGAACGCCGGACCCCCTTTGTGCTGCGGGGGAAGAAGTGGGTCCGTCCGCGCCCCTCGATGGCCACAACACAAAGGGGGTCCGGCCTTCCCGGAACGCCGGACGCCCTATGTGCGGCGGGGGAGGACGGGAACTCCAGACCCCTTTGTGCCGCAGGGGAGGACGGGGGTCTGAGATCCGATCCGACGATTGGCATAGCACGAAGGGGGTCCGGCGTTCCCGGAATGCTGGACCCCCTTTGTGCTGTGGGGGATGAAGGGGGTCCGCCCCACCCCCTCGATGACCACAACACCAAGCCTGCGCACCCCTTGCTCCCCCGAAGCGCGAAGGGGGTCCGGCGTTCCGGGAACGCCGGACCCCCTCCGCACTGCGG